GGGCAGTTAGTAAGAGCATTTCTTAAAGAACTAGTATTTATAAGAAGGGCCTAAGAGATAGGCTGCCCTACGAGTTGCTTAATAGAGAGGCGGAGGGCAGTACGGGATAAACGAGGCATTTTCTAGAACTTATTAATACTTTTCGTTTTTAACGAAGACTCTCTCTCTCCTACCGCAATCTTGTTATTCGTTTGACGCTAGGTCTAGATACCCTAGAGAATTGCCTAAAGTTCTACTATAGCATCGGCCTAGGCATAACTATATAGTATAAGATTAATAGGATTAAGGCTAAGAGGAATATTTCTATCGCTAGGTATAGTGTCGTTAGATACCTAGTAGCTATTATACTTAGGTATACTGCGGTTTTAGCGCTAGTAATAATCCCTAAATTTATTAGCAATCTTCTCGTTCTTAACGAAAAGGAGGATATTAACTTACCTTACCTAACCTTCGGTACTAACGTTATATCTAGGACCTAGCCGAGATACCGGTCCCTAGCGATTAGTATATACTATATAGCGGTTTCTCTCGTTAGGAGCGAGAGTTGACTACTATATATTTAGGCGGTTAATCTAGCGGCGTTCCTAAAGAGGGCGGGATAGGCTAGTACCGGCAAAGCTAGGCCAAGTAACAGTAAGGGAAGCTATTATTAAAAGAAAGAAGATTGTTTTTACGTTTTGAACGAGAAGCTAGGTATATAGATATAGGAGAAAGGAAGAGGAAGAAAGTAGGGGAGAGATTACCTTATATAGGTAGGGAATTAACAAAGAAAAGTAAGGAATAATAAAAGTAAGGAACAATAAAAGTAAGGAACAACGAAAGTAAGGAATAAGAGTAATATAGGGTACTATAGGTAAGAACTTTGTAAAAGTAAGGCTTTCTATATATTACGTTTATAACGAGAAGTAACCTATCGGTTAGTCTCTATACTACTAGGGTTAGTAAGGTATCTGAAATAAGGTCCTTGCAGAATATATATATCGACGGCCTAGCTAAGATATCCGTTGCTCCTATTAGGGTTAGGGTTAGGGTTAGGGTTAGGGAGGTCTTTAAGTATTCGTTCTCTCCGAGTAATTATAGGGAGGGTTGCTTTAACTATTCGGTTAATACGAAGACTCGGGTTAGCTATAGTAGTATAGCTATAGAGTAATTCCTAGATTATTCGGATATACCGAATACTAAGGAGGAGGATATTAACTACTTAGTAGAGGTAGAAATTGTTGACTACTCGGTAGAGGCGGGTATTGTTAGCTCGGTAGAGGTAGGAATTGTTAGCTCGGTAGAGGCGGGTATTATTAGCTCGGTAGAGGCGGGTATTGTTAGCTCGGTAGAGGCGGGTATTATTAGCTCGGTAGAGGCGGG